CGCGGATTGGTCCATTTGGGCCAATCCGGTCATTTGTTGTTGATTTGGGTGTTCACACGTCACACAGAACCCAGGAAGAAAACAATGGAAAATGAGAAATCCCCAAACGAGGCGTTCTGGGGCAGCATAGACAGGTCCTCTCTGTGTTAGAGTTTTACTCGCTACAGGGTGTACTTTGAGGGTTTGTGACTCTGCAGACCGTTTACATGCAGAAAAACCATCATAACACACAAGGGGACGGGTAATAACCAGAAAAGCATGATATGGGACCTTTAAATAGTAAAAACTATGTTTTGAGTTCACTTTTAAACATATAAGAGACAAGCATAATGACAAATTATCATTCTTAATGATAAATATATTTGATAGATTTTTAGAGCCCAAGTTAACAAGTTAAAGTATATATTTTATCATACTAAAAAAGCAAAATGGGGGAAAAAAGGATTTAAAATACTGTTTTGTATTTCTTATTCCCTTAATCCTACTGTCATTCCCTAGAAATAATTTTCAAACTAATCCAAAACCCTGACATTTAAAGAGAATGAACTTTGCATACAAGTTGACCATGTCGAAGTTTCCATAAAACTAGATCGCTAATTCTAATTCTTTATATTTTTGAATTAATAAAGAATCGTGTCTTTTCAGGCCTCACCAGCTCCGTCTTGCACCAGGTGATGCAGTTGCTGGGAATGCTGCAGAAGTTACATTCTCCGGGGACCTTGACCTTGGCTCCAGCTGTGCACTGCTTTTCATGCTCTGCAGTCAGCACCCTCAGGAGACAATCTGAGAAATACTGCTCCGAGGCCACCTTCACATACACACTGAAACACATTTAGGAACACCGTTATTATGAAGCTTCAACGTACAGCCTGTCACTGACACCTCTTTGATTACCCTTCAAAGTGTCCTGCCAGCGGGAGGGGAACTCTGCCGCCGCGGTCCAGGGCGTTTGTGATGTTCACTATTTCCAACTCCTCCGTGTCCCACAGCTTCTGTAGATCATGCTTTATCTCATCCTGAACAGAAGAGGGCAGCACCTTCTCAATCTCCCTCAGCTTGATGAAGAACTCAGCTTCATACGGCAGAATCCTCTCTGTTAGGGAGAGCAGGGACATAGACATGTCATTATTACACTCCATTGTTTAACTGTACATGCAACATTATTTAAATGTCCATTACCTGCAGTGGCTTTGATCACAAGTATGTGTCTGGCTGCTTCATAGCTTCGTTTGTTAATGGCAAAGATCTGTCAGAAACAGAGTGTATTATCAACAGTACATCATACAGTAGTGATCAGTTTTCATATTTTTACACAATAGATTTTTTTACTATAGCGCTTTCTTGAAGACACTTTGTTTCTATATTTGACGACTTTTTCCATCGATCATGGTTTGTTGACGGGTGTGTTTTCACATTCAGGGAATTTGCTGTGATGTATTGGTGCAAAAGGTAAACATATTAAAAAAAGAATTAAAGCAATTATTGCAACAAAAAAGAACATAAATACAGAAAAAAAGGCCTTTAAAAAATAGGCGCAACAGACATTAATATAGAATAAAATAAAAAGTGAAATGGCATATGAAAATAAAGTTAAATAATGCCTCAACCCTCTTGAGTTTGCCTAACTATTAATAAATAATGTGTAATAACACAGAGACCTGATGATCTCTGGCTTTATGTACTTTGACTATAAAAAATGACAGTCTTTTAAAAATCTTTTTTTTTAAATATATGGCATTCTTAGTGAATTACAGGTATAAACAGACTTTCAATGGGATGGGAAATTACATTTAAAGATTTTATTATAGTTATATTTGTAACTTCAGACTGTTTACATATTTTTTAGCGATAATGACCAAAGATTTGTATATTTTTATAGGCACCTGTGTCATTTGTTCATGCATTTTTGAAAAGGGTTGCAGTTTGGGAATTTAAGTAGTATTTATTAGATAGAGAGTTATTGGTTACATCCAAAATGTTGCATGTTTTCCAGCTTTAATACATTCTGTTTGAAGGATATTAAAGTTCCACGTCATTTGCCGTCTCTTCTTCTTCAAAGATATGTGTCTTCATACATTTGTTTTAAGTTGGATCAAAACAACAGCACTACAGAAACACCCAAAGCTTTTGTCTCCGAGGGTCTGACAGCAGAACCAGACATTTAACACCAATGTTCCGGATAGCTTCTTATAATTAAGATTTGTCTCCACTGTTATCCTTGATTGGCCCTTTATCTACTGAACAACAACAATAATGTCAGAATAAATACAGTCAAATGGAAAATTAAGCATCAGATGTCATATTACATTACATGTTACTTGTCATATGCAGCAGATATCACTTCAGACCTCAATTATAGTTTTTCCTGGAGCAGTTGGCGTGCCGTACAGGAATCCATTATCGTAGGGGTGCCTCTGGGTGAAGCGCAGCCACTCTGGGAGGTCTGGGAAACTCTGCTGGTTGCACTTAAAAATCATGGGGTCATCGTACAAGCGGCCAGCTTTATGACAAACAAAAAAGAGAGTAAAAGGGTTGAGGAACCTGCAATAAGAAAATCTACACCTTCAATAAAGATGATAGAAGAGTGGATAAATATGATTCTTACCGTAGAGTTTTGACAAAGGTTCAAAGTCATTCTGGAAATACTCTCTCAGCAGCTCATATGTAAATAACTTCCCCACAGGAATGGTAACTTTGATCTCTGCATTTGCCTCAAAGAAACTGACGGCACAAACTGCGAGGACATGTGAAAAAAACAAAAAACACCAAAAGATTTATCTGAATGGTCAAGCAAAACTCTTAATTGACATACAAAATAAAATATGACAACACACCGTCTGATGTTGTTGTCTAACCGTTAAAGTCCTACAATACTCGACTGATTAAATCAGGACCAAATGTCCTCAGGACCAAATAACAACTGGCTTTCCAGAGTTGTTATAATACATCAAGTTATAATATTTCAGGAATAAACTTGCCTGTTAAACAGAGGAGCCAGCTCCTGCAGCCTGCCATCTTGTTTGGGTCTGTGATTGACAGGGCCAAGCGGAGAGGGGCTTGGTCACAGCAGAAGACATGTCAGAGCTATTTTTGCCTCGCTCACCTCATAACATCCGGGGAGATGTCTGTGAATGTGTGGGGGGTAAATAAAGAGCCGTATTATTCACTCTGGTGATATATAACCACCGGAGTTACTTTAGGCATGATGTTTCCATACTTAAAACACATAAGTACAATTACTCAAGTACTTGCATATAATATGGAGGTTCTTTACATTCGTTTTTTTCTTTATTACTTTATACTTCTTCTAGGGAAATATTTTAGTTTTATTTATTTGACAAAATGTATCTGATGACTATAGTTACTATTCATTTTTAGATTAGGATTACACCTACAGAACATGTGATACAAAATAAAAATATACAAAGAAGTTAAGCTGAGCTATAGATGAGTGACATTACATTTTGGGTTACATGTAATGCATCAAACAATGAAAAGCAACTAAATAAAAATAATATCACTGAATAAGGTTATATTCTGCCTAATAAGAACTTTTATCCTATATTGACAAAATACACAAACCATAATAACAACAGTAACTACAAAGTGTATTCAGTTACAACATATAACACAAGTGACATATTAGCAAGTCGCAATCCATAATATGTTTTTTTTAACTTTATATATTGAGGGACTGATTTCATTCAGTTATTTATTTGTTTTTAACTCCCATTGGAGTGAAAATGTAAAATGTCACTTGTGGACAAACTTTTCCAAAATGATCATAAAAGTAACCCATTTATTATTAGAAAATTATTTGAAAGAGACATGAAACATCTACAAAGAAACACAACAGGAGTACAGAAAGCAACCATAAAAAATAACTACAAAAGGGTAATAACAATTGCAAAGTGAAACAGAACAACTGCCAAAACACAGAAAGGTTTGTTTTTTGTATTTATGAAGCCAACCCAAGAGTCCATTGTATAGGGACATGATATTCTGACAGAAAAAAACCTTCACAGGTTAAGAGAAGAAAGTCCTGATTGTTGCAAAACCAATATTGCAAGGAAGAAAGATTTGTTTTTATAAAATATTTCCTTGTGTAGTTATGTGACATGTGTTTGTCGGCTAGCTAGGTGGCACTACTGCCTTACTGAAGTCATGTACATCGTTGGACAGCAGTGCACTTCAGTATTTTCAGGCAATACTAATCTAGTTATGTCCTCCAGACTACATAGTCACCTTCTGTAAAAAAAAGGGGACATATTTGAAAATGAGTCTCTCATTTTGTTATTTCCAATGTGTGAAAATACTGCATGAATGTGTTATGGCCTGCCCTTGTAGATAAATCAGCCTCCGTTGAACATTTGTAAACTTATACGAGATGTGTAAACTCAAAACCAAAAAGGGAAATGCTTTGTCTAGCTTCAGTGATACTGTTTAATGTATACCTATCAGCACAGATGCAGAATGCAGGAAGCAACAATGTGTCCTGCAACTAACGGATGTGTTATTGGTCACAGAGGTTTGACGTGATTGAAGTTTACTGGGTCCTAATGCCAGTTGTTCTCTGACAGCCAAATCCACCTCAGTAGTTTAATATTCCATGGCTATCTATCTACAGATTTATAAGGAGGACTGGTGGTAAGCATTGTAAACATCAGCCAGAAAGTCTCTCAAACCATGATATTTTTTAACCATTTAGTTTTGTTGCCTACAGGCTTTACATTTTAACCATTGAGATATGCTATCTATTAATTATCCCAATGTTTTTGTGTTAACTATTCAACTGTTTATTTTCTGCTAAAAAAAATGTTCAACCATTTATCCACTAGCAAGGCCTCTGTTACATTGAGCCTTTACACTAATGATTAATTATGTTTAGCTTTATCAAATATTTATCCACATTTTTTCGCTGATTCAATAATTTGTCCATTACTTTTTGCGGTCATGCATCCAATTGCTAGCTAGCACATTTTTAAGATTTCGAGATATGACATAGAAATATAATTTACCGAATACAACTTTTGTAAGAATGATTCAAATGTTATACTTTGAGAATGTGTAACTGTTTAGAAATCTCTACTGGCTTTCTAACTCATTTAAAGGTGCTTCTCTTACATAATTGCACCACATTTATTATCTGAATGAATATGTTTCATAAAATCATAATTTCTACGTTTGCAAATGATCTGAGCTAATTTACTAGTACACCTCAACAATGGAATTAAATTAGTTACAGTTACCCCCTTGATATCCCTTTTTTGTCTCTAGTCCACGGGCACTAGGACCCGGCGACTGCCGGCTCCATGCAGCAGCGCTCTGCCGCTGCGAGAGGAGGACCAGAAGAAATCTGCAGCTCACGGAATGAAGAGATCAAAATGATGCTGCCTGTAAAAAGGGATTAAACGTAAGCAATCTGTCGTCAACTGGGGTAAATCCGCGGCTCATTACTGTTCTTCTTTTCTGTGCAAATATGTGTTTTTATGACTAATGCATTTATCGTTGAGGTTTACAATGTGGTAATGGCAAGCCAGCTAATGACAGATGCATCGTGCTCACTTTCTCCTTTGCATTGAATTGCAGCGGATGCAAGCAGGCCTTTAATACGATCTGTTGTTTTTGTTTCTCCCCATCTGCCGGTGTAGTCTGGGCGCCACCTTGCTCGGATCGGCTGCTGGTGGATAGCACAGATTTGCCACCGGGGGTTGAGAAAGGAGACATGCCGTCGCTGAGCATCCGTTGCGCCGCCTGAGTGACCATGATGAAGACAGAATCCACCTCCAAGAGCACCGGCTCTGGCTCCACGCTCAGGAGCCCATCCCCGCACAGGAACGCATACGAAGCGGGGATGCAGGCCCTGAAGCCCGTCAAAGACAATGCTGCCAACGGGGACATGCAGGATTGCCCCCGAGGGCGCAGGTACGGCTCCAACGTTCACCGTATCAAAAACATGTTCCAGCAGATGACGACCACTTCCCCAGCCGACGCAGAGGGAGAGGTAGAGGTAGAGGGAGAGGGAGAGGGAGAGGAGTGCGTCAGGACCGCCGACACATCGGTGCGCCTCTCCCTCCCTAGAGCCGGGAGCCTGAACGAGAACGTGGACCACAGCGCGCTGCTGAAGCTCGGGTCCACCGTGTCTGAACGCGTTAGCAAGTTCGACATCACGAAACCGGAGAATGGGCACCCCAGGGCCTCATCACCCAGCTACTCCAAGCTGCAGGAGACCCGCCGCATCTTCGAGCAGCAGCTTGAGAGGCAGATGCAGGAGAAGCTGCTGCAGCAGGAGAACCAGCAGGAGCAAGAGAACCAGCAGGAGCAAGAGAACCAGCAGGAGCAGGAGAACCAGCAGGAGAACCAGCAGCAGCAGGAGAACCAGCAGGAGATCCAGCAGCAGCAGGAGAAGATACAGCAGCCAGAGAAGCTGGCCACCACCAGGGTCCTGCTGAAACCAGAAAAGCCCCCAGGCTACCAGGAAAGCAGGTTGGAACTGATGGCTCGTTTCAATGGCAGCACAGAGTCCCTGGACAGCCTGGACTGCAGTGAGGCTGTGTCCCCGACAGTCAGCCAGCTCAGTGCAGTGTTTGAACGGGCAGCCGAGCTCCGAAACAACCTCCACCGCCTCTCATCTACCCCACCACTCCCTTCCAGGGGGGTCAGCGCCAAGGTGGGTGTGTTGAACTCCAAAATAATCACAAAGAGGGTTTGTGCCTTTGCAGCAGGCAGCAAGGAGGAAGATGCAAGCAAACAAATGGGCCAAGAGGGGCCTCAAAGGGGAACCAGGGGGAGGGCGACGCCTCCATCTGATAGCATTAATGGGGGTCAAAGCACACAAAACACTGAACTTTACAGTACTGTAGGAGAGCAACATGAGAAGAGAGAAAAGACAGTTTCAGATGCAGGGGTTGAGGTCAAATCTGTGGAACACTATGGGGCCAATAAGGGGTCGAACAGCACAACACTGCAAGGTGACATCCACATCTCTGTGGAGAACGGAGACACCACTGCTGAGAAGCTTCGCTCTGGAAAGGGGGGTGAGACGGAGGAGGAAGACAGGACACTGGACCAGTCGGGGCGTGATTCTGTGGATATCAGTACCTACAGCGCGGTGGGGGAGGACTTTGGAGGAAGCCAAGTGGATGAGGAGGAAGAGGAGGAAGATGATTCCTACGAGCCAGAGTCCAGCTGTGCAGAGATTAATGGGCTGCCTGCGGAGGAGGACCCGCCCCCTTCAAGGAAGATCCGCTTTAGCATTGAGCCCATCAAGGTGAGAAAATATGCAAGTGGCAAAAAACATGTGGAGTAGTAGAACATGAAGGTGTCACCAGACGCTCATCTAACTAGCTAGCTAGGGTGCTGATTTCTGTCTATATTCTGTGTTTGGTTTCACCCAGTGTGTTGAGAGGCCCGTTTGACTTGACCTTAAAGTTTATCTACCCTGCTACAGCCATAGTCAGCGGCGCTGTCAGCTGTTTTAATGAACTCACTCAGCTTCTGCCGGTGTCAGAATGATGCTGACATTTAGATTTTACCCTGTTTCAACACGGGGCTTTGCACATTACCAACAGCCCCCTCCCCTCCGCACTAGCCAGTTGCTAATGAACGGTCCTGCATTCCTACTGTGCAGCTGACATGGGCCCCAAAAGATCTGCCATGTAGATACTTATCTGATATGCAGTGGGAGCTGCTGCTTCTGTAAATAATTGCTGGGGGAGTAGGAACAAAGAGGCCTGAATAATTATTCCTGTTTTAAAGAAGTAGATACTCTGCTGTGGCCAATGCAAGGTCAGCGGGAAAGTCCATGGGGAGCTGGGTGAGGAATGGAGTGGTTTTGTGTGTGCGTGTGAGAAAGAGAGGGAGGAAGTGAGAAAAGAGGCTGCGATCTCCTCTTGGAAGATGAGAGAGGAGGATAGAGGGTAGGGGGTGGAGTTTATTTAAAGTGTCTCTCCGTGTCTGGGGGGGTGGTGGTGTAATGATCTGGAGAGGAGCATCAGATCCTCTCCTGCTCTGTCCCGCTGCTCTGCTCTGCCTTGAGGTCTGAGACATACAGAGGCCAGCCACAGTGTGCACTGACAGTGTGCATCACAAACATTCCCTCATGCAGAAAGCCATTTCAGGACCAGCCAAGTCAAAAGTTGCCACTGCTCTCCTCATGGCTGCACACAGGAGAGCCTCGTCAAGAGAGCTGGTATTTAGAGAAGGGATGAACAATACATTATATTTTCATCATAATAGCATATTTGAAATTTAACCATCGTGCTTTTTTTATTGGTGCCCAAAATTCAACAAGCAATTTATTATATTTCATCTGAACACTGAAACTAGGAGAAAGGCTGAAGTTATAACATGCTAACATCTGTTTATTTATTGCATTCATTAGCTGTATTCAACAATGTTATTGTATATTTTCCTCATACCTTATTTAACTATTATCAGGCCTATATTTGTTTTTAAAAGAGTTAACAGGGATTGCCAAGAGTAAGATGGAAAAATGTCAACCGCTTTCATGTCTTTATGGTAAATATGAAGCTACGGCCAACAGATGGTCAGCTTAGCTTAGCACAAAGACTTTAAACAGCTAGGTAAGAAAACATGCTACCAGCGTCTCCAAACTTCTAAGCAGGTTTCCTAAAGTCATTAACTACTCCTCTTTATATCTGAGTAGTTCAACTCAGATTACAGTAATGGTAAAGAGTGCGACAGTGTGTGGGGGTATTGCAAGAAATGTATCATTTCCACAAAGGAAGGTAATATGAAAAATCTGCTCTGTTAATGTTTTCACGAGGAAGGAAAACCATTTATATTTGTCAGGCCTCAAGAACACACACAATGCTCACTGTAAACATACCTCTTCACATACAAAACCTATACCTTAAAGGGGACCTATCATGCAAAATGCAGTTTGTGATGTCTTTTATACATAAATATGTGTCCCCGGTATGTCGGGGAACTCACGCAGCGTCAGAAAATAAAACCCTTTCTCTTTTCCTCCGTACCCAAATCTTTTAAAAACGGGGGTACAACGAGCGGATACAGATTTGCCGCCGATATGACGTCAAATCGGCAGTGGACCCACAGAAAGTTTCTATCAGAAACAATGCCTGACGTGTTTTGGACGTAATCTCGTCTTTGTTTACATTAGCAAGCCTCGCTAACACTCAAAGCTAAGCTGTACTGGAGAGCACTTGTGTTTTAAAAAGCAGTAAATAAAAAAAGAACTCACCTTGTGATAAACCCGCTAGAGAAAAAGCATTTGAGCTCCATACTGTTTCAGAAATAATCTTTGATGTGGTTTAGAACACTATGGCGTTTTATCACAGCAGAATTTAACTTTATCTCCGGTAGAATTCTGATCAGGCATTTGCTCCGCCTCCTCTTTTTTTTTTTTTTTAAAGCTAAGGACCCAAGATCCGCGTTTCTCTAACATGGCTTCAAAAGAGNATCAGGAAACCGTATTACATCTCTCTGCCCCCTTCGCTCCTCTCTCTCTCTCTCCCCTCCGGTACACAGCACGTAGTGTGGAGTTGCATTAGGTAACGCGAGATACGGCTGATACTTGCGCATTAGTTTCTGTTATGGATCAGTATCAACAGTCCTGCCAGTAACATTACTATATTATCAATACTACTTTAGTTATAGCCTGATATATGATAGCTGACTTTACAATGTTGTGACAGACGTTAGCTAACATTAACTGTAGCTAACGCCGGTCACTCACCAAGACAGCTGCCCTGTTCTCCACTGGTTCTCCTCACAACACAGCTCCATTTCTCGCCGATGGCCGTTATTTCTTCTAATCTTTGGCTGCTCCTGGTCTCTTGGACGCATAGCAGGCTCATAATTATAATCATATGCATTCGAATATATATTTTCAACCTCTTCTGTGTCAAAACTAGCATTGTGATCCATGTTTATTCATACGTTAGACCGGCCGCTCTCCCCCATGTTACGTCACACGCGGGAGGTCACGTGGGGAGGCTTTTTTTATGCGGAAGTAAAAATGTCTTACAAAAACGATGCCAGATGTCACTGTTCTGTATATTTTTTGGAAAATCTAGTGTATACATCATTTTCCTACACATTTATTCACTGGTGTGTCTAACCTGCAAGTTGCTCTTTAAGCAGAAAAAAACTGTCTTTAACACCTCAATTACGAAACCAAAAGGGAGCCTATAAAGCATTTTAGCACAGCAATCTCTATGAGTGCATCTGCCAACAGATGTAAACACCAACATTTTTTTTTGCTAAGCCAATATTTGGCTCTATCCAAGCTGGATGGAAGCAAACCGTGTTTGCCATTTTGAAAATCCCACGAATCCCTTATGAGTAGGCCTCAGCTTAGCGTGTCTTTCATACAATTTTACTGCATGAAAGAAAAAGACAAAAGCAGACTGAAAAAACAAAAGCATTATGTGGTAAAGAAGTCAGAACTCATAAGCTTTGATAAACAGGCTGAATTTGGTTTTGGACCCTGCAGTCATCTTGGCAGAATAACCTCCTACGGAGTCCTTTCACACTGTATCAGTGTGGCTTTTGTTATGGAGATTGATGCAGGGGTGGATGATAGTTGAGGGGGGCTGGCGAGGTCAAATGGGAGGGGCGTTATTTTTCTGCTGAAATGTCATGCGTCTGTATAGCTGTAAGTCACAGTTCAAGCCCTAAACAGGAAGTGCCCATGTATGGTGCAACAACTCAGCTTTCAGCCACAATCAAGTCTTGTTGTTGTGGTGATGGCGGTTGGACGTCAGGGCGCATGTCTCTTTTCTTTGTCCCCGTTTTACACTACACACTCCTGTCTGTCTGTCCCCTCACACTGTCAAAAATAGCAGTTCTGCTCCGGGTAGAGTTCACACTAGATCCTTTGTTTGCTCCTTCTGACAATCCTTCTCTCGCTCCTTCTTTCCTCCCTTTCGCTCTTTGTAACCAGTCTCCTACTGTTAGTAAAAATAGCAGCATTGTTATCGTCACAGACTTGTTTAGCTTTTCAGGGCCGCCTCTTTTTTTTCCGAAACACAGGAAGCTGCCTCTCATGCCTTATTTATTTGTTTTGCTTGTTTGTTTTGGCTCTTTCATTCTACATCACAACTGTATCAACACTGTAGTGTGTGCTTGTTAATTATTTATCCTATTGTAAGAGCAAACCTTTTTAAAAGAGGCGTAAAATGAGATAATCTCCACTGGATTTGCGCTGTGTTCCCCTCCAAAGCAGAAATAATCTGATTTATTTTTCATGCTGCAGAATCTCCTTGCTCACTCATCGCCTAGCCTGCTCTTAAACTTTCTATCCTCCACACACACACTTTCTCTTGGATTTCTGCTGCCTACGCAACTCTGAACATTACTGCCAGCCTGCTCAAAGAACACCTATGATTTTGCTTCACACTGTGTCATTAACACAAACAAACTGTTCTTATATTGTAATAAACTGAGCATTGAATTTTGAAAAACATAGAAGGAAGAAAAGCTTTTTCAAGCACAAAAACAATATAGAGATTGGCCAAAGTGCAACCTTTGGTGGCTTATGTTCACCACTCCACCCAGGGAGGTGTAATACATCCCCATATGTCAAGGTATCCTCAAACTGTCTATTACTCAGACACAGCAGGCCTGCAGCATTTCATACAGTGCATTACTCACAGTCAGGAGGGGTGGGAGACCAGACGAATTATCAGCAAGGTCACTCTGCCCCACTTCCCAGTCCTGCAGTGGTGGTGGGTTACAAGCATCGACTGTTACTGCGACATGCCGTGTTATGCAACGTCTGAGCGTCCATCCTGCCATTATCTTGCCAAGCTTAAAAACCAACAACATACAGAGAGCCGACAGAGGTCTGTCATATGTCTGTATATATCATGCTTAGGTTACTAAACATACAGTAGAGATAATACTTTGTCTATCCTCAGGGGAGAAATGGTTGAATAATGCTGATGTAATTCTGTTTTTACATTTGTCAGTAAATGTAATTAAATAAATGAAAAGGCCAACACCAACAATGTGTTAGTTGATTCACAAGTCTTCAACAAGACTTTTATTTTCTCGAAGATTTAACTAGTTGCAAATATATGTTTTCAGTGTTACATTGCAGGTTGAGTAATATATAGTGTATTTGACAGGGTTTTTGTTGATTAAGATATATTTGGGGCTGAAAACACTAATTACATTCAGTATAATGAAGCAACATGACACCCATTGTGGCTTATTGATTTGTTTTAATTGTTCGTTGGAAAACAAGGGAGGTCTATGGCACAAAGGAAGTTACTATATAAGACTTTAGCTATCAGGTTTTTGTTATTTTAAGTGGGGTTT